AAGTCTATAATTGGGCCTCTATATAGATCGTTGGTTCGGCCACATCTGGAGTACGCGGTCCAGTTTTGGTCGCCGGTACTGAGAAGGGATGTCCTTGAACTGGAGAGAGTCCAGCGGAGGGCAACAAAACTAATTAGGGGAAGGGAGGACCAGAGCTATGAGATGAGGAGAAGGGGGAGGGGCTGGAGGACCAGAGCTATGAGATGAGGAGGAGGGGGAGGGGCTGGAGGACCAGAGCTATGAGACAAGGCTTCTGACCTTAAACATGTTTACGCTGGAAGTAAGGAGATTAAGGGGGTATATGATTTTCATGTACAAGATGTTCAATGGTGACAGCAACATTGGCAACAAACTGTTTGAGATTAACTCCGTAACAAAGACTGGAGGCCGCCACCTAAAGTTGGTGGAGAAAAAATTCCAGCACAATGGGCGAAGAGGGTTCTTTACAGTAAGAGCGGTTAAGGTCTGGAACTCACTGCCATCGGCCGTCATCTCAGCCAAGAGTGTAGATTTGTTCAAGAAACGTTTGGACAATTTCGTGAGGGACCGTAATATCCGGGGGTACCAGTATCCCTAAGAATGAGATGATGCGTGGACCGATATGGGCTGGACTTGATGGACGTATGACTTTATTCAACCCCAAATACTATGTAACTACGTGGGACCTACAGGGCGTGTGTAGACCACCTAGGTGTGAACGGATCTTCTCTGGGATGGCCACTGTTTATTATTGGCTATCCAATCACTGACGTGAGAAAGATACAATTGTGTTCTTTGGCCCAATCATTGGATTCCTCATGTGAGTGAATAGGAGCAGCTAGGATAAAGATGGATAGACAGAGGCCATCAGGGGGACTTCTCAGAGGAACCTTGGCCTGTAAGTGACCCCCTGTAACTGCGCATGCGCCAAGTGTGCTTTCCCGTACTATGGGGAAACGCGCTCTTCTGCACATGTGTGCGCGCCATGGACCGGTCCCGCAAAAGCGTGCTAAACGGCGCACAGGAAGTGGCACATCACCCTAATCACTTCCCCTATATGGACCCAGCCTGAGCACCACCATATGGCTGGATTATCTTCAGCTCTCCTGTGTTCCTGTGATCTACCGTGACCCGGATTTGTCTTGACGATTCTTGCCTGCCACCGACCTCGGATTTGTTTACTGGACTTTGCTTCTGCCTGACCCCTCCGTACCGTTATTGCTCGATTGGTTTTGACCTTGGCTCCATTACTTGGATTTCGCCTACCAAAGCCCTCGGATTTCGGCTTGCACGGTGTTATCGCCACAGGCACTCGTGCCACTCGCTGTCTACTTG